ATCCATTCATTCTCTGAGCCGTTTATCCTCACGAGCGTCGCCTCACACCTAAATGGATATGAACCAGAACATTAATCCGAATACTAAAACGAGCAGCGTCGAGACCAACCAAAACTCTACCGGCTCAAGGTGAGAATTCGGGCTGAGCATCTTCCCTTCTCAAGCGCAGACGTTGAAAGGCATTTCAGTAGCTCACACTGACCTCTAGCGGACAAAAGAGGAAAAGACATTCATTGTCTCGTCCCTCTTCCAGGAGCACGCTTGATCTCAAAACACACACACACACACACACACACGCACACACACACGCACACACACACGCACACGCACACACGCACGCACACACACACACACACACACACACACACACACACACACACACACACTGATGTAATGATGAGGTGTCACATTTCCGCCTTCAAGGTCCGATGCTAAGTAGATCAGACAATCAGGAAATATTAGCGCGCGCATGTGCGTGCACGTGAGGATCAGAGCTAATCATAGCCGCCTTAACGACCCCCCCAGAGGGACGCCGGCTAATCCTTGTCACCCCGGGGACCTTTAAGCACCACCCGGCCCGCCTCACCTCAGCCCGGCCTCTTGGGAGGGGGGGGGGGGTGCAGGTTCGCTCGGTCCGGTGCGTCCTGGGCAGGTGGAATGAATCTTCTTTTCGTATCTGATCTTGATGTATTTGTAGAAACAAGCAGAGCAACGACACATAAAGCGCATCCAAAATACTCACGGGCATGCCTTCTCTGCGTCTTCTTCTTGCTCTGGATGAGCCTGCGTGTCTTCCAGTCGAGCTCAGTGCTGCCCAGCATGTTGTGGCCCGATGTGGCACGACACTTAAGGGGCGCAGCCCGAAATTCGGATTTGCCAGGGGGCCGAAAATGTTAATCTGCTCATTAGTGGTGGTCCCCAGAAAAAAGAAGAGGTGGACTGCTGCTTGCAGGGGTTCCACCTTACTGGCAGGGGGCGCCAAAGGACAGCCCTTGCAGTGAGAGAGAGAGAGAGAGAGAGAGAGAGAGAGAGAGAGAGAGAGAGAGAGAGAGAGAGAGATTGAAATGCATGATATGTAACTCTGGGCTAATTAGCACCTGACGTTCACTCAATGAACACACACACACACACACACACACACACACACACACACACACACACACACACGCGTGTGCGCGGGGTGTGGGGGGGGGGGAGTCCTGTGAGAGGCAACTCTCGACATTATGTCCAAATGACACTGACGCCCCGTAATTAAGACGGAATCATTTGCATGGACACACACACACACACACACACACACACACACACACACACACACACACACACAGGCACACGCACGCTGGCGAGCTCAACAAGCTGTTCTAATCAAAACGTCAGCTCGCAAATTAACCGGGGCGATTGCATCTTCATCATGACTTGGCTTTTAATTTGGCACAGCCCTGGAGGGCACTTTCACACATCACTCGGGGTGCATCAACCACGGATTGGGAATCCTTGGTGTATGCAGAATGAGTTTTTTTTTTTTTTAAGTCATGCACCCCCTTCAAGCATCGCAACAGAAATGGAGCTTTCGCCGCGCACCTTCTTTAGCATCCTGACAGAGCTGCCCCCCCACCCACCATATTTTTAAGCCACGCATCCAGATTGAAACAACCCCTCTTCCCATATATTAAGCCCCGCACCCTCTTCAACACCTTGACAGGGCTAGTGCAGCCCTTCTTATGATTTTAAATCACACACCCCTTTTTGGTATCCTTTCTACCCACAAGTCACAACAAATGGTGCGCCGCCTCCCCCCATATTTTTACGCGTCTCACCCTGTTGAACTTGCCGACAGAACTTTCAAAGTCACGCACCCTCGTTCCTCCGCGAACATGGAAGGCGCACCCCCTGCCCGCAGCACATCCCTAAAAAGCAGTTGAGTGTGCAGTGTTGGAGAAAGCGTCGGCTCTCCGGTTTTGCCTCTCTTCTTGATTAATATGAAGCGTTTGCAAAGGCTTCATTAAAATTGCATCCAGCGTTTTCCGCGGCTGTAATGAAAGTTAACGCGAGTGTCAAAAGCTTTCCCGCCAAGCAAATGGCAGCTAATGCCAAATGCTTTCACAACAGGCCTTCCTTTAATTGCGCAGAGGCGACTAAAAATGGAAGGTTGCGGATTTATCTACCGATATTTTTTTTTAAATGGAGCTCTTTTTGAAGATTTATTACCTTTAAATATTTGTAGTCAACTCCTTTGTTTTATGAGAATGCGTCGTTTTGTCATTAAAAATGTGCTTTTTCTTTCTCCATATTTTTTTCAACGTACACATTTCATGATCATCATGCATTCAAAATATTGTTTTGCCATTATTTTGCTTTTTCAAACTCTTTTTTTTATATCTCTCCTACACAATTTGAGTTTGTGAAACGTTGGCTTGCTTTGTGTGTTTGTAAGCAAGTACGAGGGTCCCGCTGAAGCGTCTTGAACGTCCGAGCTTGTATTTGCGCCATGTTCATTATTTCGGAGTGCAAGCAGCCCGGCTGGCACACTCGTTTTTTTTTTTTTCCTCTCTCTCTTTCCTGTTCTAATTGCCTGCGAAGGCCCGCCGCCTGCCATTAGAGCGCCATTAGACCATTAAGTTGGCTTCTCCCGGACCGCCGGCTCACGGCCTGACTTTTACTACACCTCCGAGGGCGCCGTGTACACGCTGTAGTTGATATGTGCGTAACGCGCAGCCCGCCGAGCTCCCGAAATCCCCTCTCGGAGCACGGCCTCTTAGCATCGACCTCCACGCTATTTCAGCTCACAGAAAAGAAAAAACAAAACACAGGAAGTCCAATCAGCGCGCTTCATTACAGGGGCCAAAAAGAGGAAATATTAAAGTGAGACCGCTTTCGTGGTTTTCGACGGGCTCGGGTCCGCAAAGTTCAGAGTTCGCGAGCGCAGGGCGGTGGGAGGGGGAAAAAGAAGGCCGAAGGGTGTCAGCCTCGGGCCGACTGGACGGGCCCGGAGACGCGCCGGTGGTGGTGCGAGGCGTCAATCACGTCGCCTGACCTAACAAGGCCGCATCAATGATGGATTGCGAGCGCACAAGCGGCATCATACCACACTGCAGGCAAACAAATAAACAAGCGGAATGATTGATAGACCTCCTTTGCCGATAACAAATAACAATATTGAATTGTACTTTTATTGATAACAAATGCTCAAAATCTTATATGACATGCGCATCACAGCTTGGTAGAATATTCGCATTGTATCGCATTGCGACTTATTGTATTGTGTCTTCACGTATCATATCGATACACGCTGTATCATGCCACTCATGATACAGCGTGTATCGATTGTCACATGGTACCGGTATCGCGCTGTGTCGGATCGTATCGTAACATTATATATCGACATATCGCTTTGCACCGTATGTTATCTTCATGTTACGTCGTGTCATAAAGTCCCGTATGGTATTGTAGCGTATCTTTCCATCTTGTATTGCTTCGTAGTATGTTCCGTGTTATGGGATTGTATTGTGTGGTATCAATACGATATCTTTGCATATCATCGCTGTAAACAACTTATTTACCCTTTTGGCTTATATCTTAACTTTTTGTGTGCTATCTTTACAGATGATTTTGTTTTGTATCGCCATTTTTGGCAAGCGTACCTATCTCAGTGTATGTGTGTGTATGTGTGTGTGTGTGGATGTGATCAATACTAAGTGGAGATGAAAAACGTAAGAATGAAGTACAAAGTAAGTGTTGTCTATTGATTCGATGTTGTGCCACGGCGGTGTGGATGTAAATGTGTGTGCGCGCGTGGCCCACAGGGAGCGTGTGCTCTGTGATCCAGGTAATGCGGAGCAGCCGTGGAACAAGCAGAACATCCGCCATCCGTCTTGACGTACCGTCTTGGCCGTATCGATCCGCCCATTTTGCTGTCACGCCATCTCGACAGCGTCCCGGCGTTCCACAGGGGACCGTGTCGCTTCAATTTGTATCACTGTGATACGGCACCGCTTCACGCGGTATCGATAACGTAAATGGTTATTGTGTCTTTACGTATCGCGCCATCACGTAGCGTATCCCTCGATAACATCATTCATGACACACAATGGTATGGTATCATATATTATCATTACAAATGAAATCCCTTAAATGGCACCTTTCCGATTAATTCAACTCCAAATGAGTCAACCCCATCCATTGCCAATCACCGCCGAACGCAACACTCGATCACGGGACTCCCGTATCTGCATCGTCCTCAAACGTGCGACTATTATGGGTGTTGACATCCGAGGGCCCGGGCCACCGCTCAGATAATTAGCAAGGGCGCGCTCTTTGGAATGATCCGTCATGGCCGCTGCCATGCAGAGGACACTGGCAATTTATCATCACGGTAGCAAGGACACGCTTAATTAAGCACCTGCCGACGAGTGATTGAACGAGGAACACGAGTAGAAAAGAGAAGAAACAAAACAAAACTATATAGCTAAAAAAAAAAAAAAAATTATAGTTGAACTTGAATTGACTTTTTTAATCCAAACAATTTTTTTTAAAAAAGCATCAAAATAAAATTGGTTTCTTACGACCGAAATCCATATGAAATGTTTTGGTGTAAATACAAAAGTAAAAAAGTCAATTTATTTCATAATTATAATTAGTATTATTTTAAATTGTTCAATCGTCATTTTAAAATGAAATCTAATGTAGAGCAAAATTCAATGCAAAATATGACACATGGTATGTTTCAATTCAACCAGAAACAATTCATTTGATGTTTAGTTTTACATCTCCTTTTGATTCCATGAAAATATTACAAGATGCCTTTCATTTGGAAAAATATTGAATTCAAACCTTTTGTTGAACTTACATTTGAAGATTTTTTGGAAGTTCTACCTATTTTGCTGGATGGTGCCCCATTGACCGTCCGTGCGCCGACAACTCTCTTCATTGCCACACTCAACGCCCTCAAATACAAGTGAATCATTGAGAGCCATAAATTGGTCCTTTAGGCTAAAACAGACTCACTTTGTCAGCTATTTTGTTTTATTGTACGGACAGATGTGAGGAGAAAAACAGGGGTGGGCAAACTAGGGCCCGTGGGCCATTTACAGTACACATTTACCCTGCCCCCTCCGCCCCCAAGCCCCCCACTCGGCTTTCGAGATCCCCGCCACATTATCCAGCAGCCCCGGGGCCGACCGGCAGACAAAACACACACCGGCAAGAAATCATGAAACAGTTTTCCTACTTGTACAAGCATGGGGAATTTCACGTGAATAAAAACCAAACGGTATCTGGATTTGAAAAAAATGCCACTTTCAAACTTCCCACCGACTAACCTGATACGTCCCCCTCAGGCGATTGCGCCCGGCTTAAAAAAAAAAAAAAAACGCTTGAAGTGCGCGGATTTGATCCCTCTTGTTCTGACAAACAATAACAGACAAGAGCAAGAAAAGAATTTTGGCCCTGAGAGAGGAAAAATCTGCCGTTGGAAGTTTGAATGCAAACCGGCCTGATTTGAAACAACAGATGGGAGATAACGTCGCCAACGGAAAAAAAGGGGACGCTTTTATCTGACGTGTGAACTCCTACGTGTGGAGATGCACAGACCAGGTACACAGCTCTCGACATCAACTTCGACGGGTACGGCCACCCGTTTATTTGCTTCATATTATTGATTGACATTTTCTGCATGGATCGACTCTGACGTGGACGCACTCCGACATGTTCCGACATCTCCGGGTGGTAGACACGTTCTTACCCAGGGTGGAAATTCTCGACATGTGCGAACCTACAAGCGTCACAAGACTGATTTGTATTCATTTTTATTAATATGCATGAATAGACACACATTACGGTAGAGGGAAACTCTTGACATGAACTTCAACTGTGTATGAACTCCTACATGTAAAGACACATAATAAAGAGCACCCCCCCCCACACACACTGTAAATCACAGTCATGTTTACAGACAGATGAATAAATGATGTGTGCCTGTGTGTGTGCATGTGTGTGTGATATATAATGAATGGCTCTTGTTCATTACACAAGCTCACATTCGACAGGCCATTTCCACACACACACACACACTTACCAAAGTAAATGGTGTTTCATGAGGACGTCGTCGTTGAACCTGACTTTTGAATCTTTGATGTGGCCAGGTCAAACGCGGCGACTCAACGGGCAGCGGACAGACGCTGGAACAAAGATGACAAGCAGCTTTGTGAGGATGACGTGGGCGGTTTGGGAAAGCGGGAGGGGGCGGGGCGCCCCAAGGGGGAGAAATGCACGAGGAAGACGAGGGGGAGAAGGCTTAGGATTGTTTTATAGGTGATGTTATGTCACGCCTCTTTCTTGGCTCTTTGATTTAGGCACAACTGCTCACGGGAAAAATGTAACACTGCTGATTAAAAAAAAACAAAGGAAAAAAAAAACTTTTATTTGACCAACATGGCGACCTTTGAACCCTGTGACCGGGTTCTCGCTGGGCCCTCTGGCAGCCCGACAAAAGGTCTCCCCCAAAAAGACAAGTATGAGAGCGGTGGCGGGGGAGACCATATTGCCATACGTTGGTGTCAGACGCACTTAGCGGCTCTTTGATTTAGGCACAACTGCTCACGGGAAAAATGTAACACTGCTGATTAAAAAAAAACAAAGGAAAAAAAAAACTTTTATTTGACCAACATGGCGACCTTTGAACCCTGTGACCGGGTTCTCGCTGGGCCCTCTGGCAGCCCGACAAAAAAAGGTCTCCCCCAAAAAGACTTACAAGTATGAGAGCGGTGGCGGGGGGGCCATATTGCCATACGTTGGTGTCAGACGCACTTAGCGTTTGCCCTGCTGCGCACACACACACACACACACACACACATACGCGCGATCGCGCGCGCATACACACACACACACACACACACACACACACACAGGAAATGGTCATTTGTTGTCGTATGATTGGACAACTTAAAACATTTTCAGGGGGTCTCCAATTGGGCTTTCACTCGTCATCTGTTTGAATGAGCAAAGAGTTCACGTATTGAGCTAATATATAGCATTATTCTGTGTCCATTTTCATCCCTCCGCCCCCCCCCCCAAAAAAAATAACTGTAAATACTCACCAATTTTTTCTTAACTGTTAGTTTAATGACATTAGAATAAACTGTTGTCGTATAATTGGACAACTAAAAGGATTTTCAGGGGGTCTCCAAGTGGCCTTTCACTCGTCATCTGTTTGAATGAGTGAGGAGTTCACTTACTGAGCTAATATATAGCATCATTCTGTGTCCATTTTCGTCCCCCCCGCCCCCCCCGCAAAAAAAATAACTGTAAATACTCACCAATTTTTTCTTAACTGTTAGTTTAATGACATTAGAATAAACTTGTGTCAAGTATTTTGAATCTGGCACCCACCAGACTCCCGTTTATCATTTAGCTAGCCTAATGCTAATGAAAAGCGGCAGCAGACGAGTCTGTAAGTTAGTCTAGCGCGCTGGCATCTCTACCTTGAGCGCCCGTATGCGCCCATACAAATATCGACATTCTCTTAATGGCCGGAGAGTCGCTGATATCAACAAAACGCATTAATGCGGCCATGAGTGCAAGGTGATGTATGGATGAAATCTCGGGCAGACGGCAGGACGCTAATTTGTTGTTTTGACATGTGCACATATCAATAAAGTGCATTACGCCGCTGCACTTCATTTCGTCCCACCGGGGAAACCAGCGCAGGAACATGCACCAGCTCAACTCGCTTGGAGCTATTGTTTAGATGCTAATGTAAAAAAAATATATAGATATATCCATCCATCCATCCATGTATGTGTACACAGCGCAAAGATAAATGGCGCAATTTTCGCCACTGCTTGTTGCGTGGCCGCTCGCGGAGTTTGCGTGCCGTTCGGCGTTCAATAGGAACAGCTGTTCTCTAAGAAACGGGAGAATGTTGAGTGCTTTGCATTGTTAATCCTGAGCTCTGCATGCCATATGTTGCTTCATCCTCCTTGTGGCTCCAGGTGAGGTTTAACCTGACGAGCAGTGCTCGGTTAGCGCCTGTGCCCCCCACCAAAAGTCAATCACTAGCCCCCCCCACACGCACACACACATACACCGAGCCTCATACCAAAGATAGAAAAAAAAAAATCAGCCCCCAACAACAGTTTCACAGCAGGACATTTAGCACGACACATTTAACATGACGAGACCCACAAAAAAGTCTCAAGGACCCATGTTGGAAAATGACCAGGACGGTGGCCATTTTTGGTCAAACTTCTACTTCAAAAGTGAGACCTGGACAAACTTGGCCCGCGACGCCACTTTTTGCAGATTGACATGAAAATTAGTGGCTATGTCTAACCTAGCAGGACGCTCTGGAAAGTCTCAAAAGGGCCCAAATGCAAAACTGAACAGGAAGTCGGCCATTTTGGTCGGAAGCAAGCTGTTTTGGGGCAAATTCCTTCAAGGGCGCACCCTGGAAAATGCAGTTCACCAAGTGACATGAAATTGGGTGGACACGTTGATCATAACAGGACGCGCAGAAACGTCTCAAGGACGCATGCCCGACACCGAACAGGAAGTCGGCCATTTTGTGTTGAAGCTGCGTTCAAAATTTGATCATCATCTTGAGGATTGATCATCTGAAGGGTTGAAATAAATCATGAACGCATTTTCATAAAATCACTACTGATGCACAGATGATCAAGAATCTGTACGTTGTGACTTTTCTGCCATGACTGACATAGCATTTATTGGTTGAACTTGATCCGAACTTTCGGTAAAGTTGGACCGCGAAGAATTTGAACTTTTCACCAAGATGATAGAATGCGGCGGACCCCCTCAAGAGGGTTTTGCGTGTGCATGAAAGGGGTGTCGAGTTTCTTGATGCTCTTATTTACGCCCATACTGTCTGACCTGTGCGGCCGGCCAGTCACAATTAGACAGCATGCCGGATGGATGATTGACAGCCGCTCCAACGTGCCCTGAGGTGACGAGAGGTCGGCGCCTGCCAATCACCCGGCGCTCGCTCCGTGCCGCTCGCGAGTCCTCCGTGTGGAACGAAAGAAACTGCAAAAAAAAAAAGAAAAAGAGGATCGTTAATTGGTCAATTGATCCTCATCAGCCAATCAAAAGTGGAAATTATTCATGGAGTCGATGACAAAGCAGAAGATTGATTGATTGATTGATTGATTGATTGATTGGACGCTGATGGGTAGTTGTAATGGAAAGCTGGACGGAGGAAAACATTGATTGGTCGCCACTCCATCCAGGTGAAGCGTTCGTTGGCACAAAGCTTCACTTTCTTACCGTTTTGAAGAGAGGTGGCGCTGTTTTGGAATAATTGCAAAAGAAAGCAAAATTATGAACATTGGACAAATAAAAATAACTAGATACATGATATATATACTGTATATAGATATGTTTTTTTTTTTTAAATGACATTTTCCTACCTCATTGCTGCTGGTTTCCTGATTCCTCGCTCCTGTCATACCTTTTCTTTTTGCTCATTAAAAATTAACGACGCCATTCCGGACTAATTGTCTTCAGCATGGCAGAGAGCAGCGGAATGAAATGAAGCCATTAGCCCGGAGAAGCTTTCATCACTCGGTGTGTGCGCCCGTGTGTATCGTCATCTCGCTATCCATCTATCTACCGACGATTCATTTCAACCTTTTGTGCTCGACGTTTTTCGAAAGATTTGGAAGCAATCAAAGAAATACATTCATTTTTAAAAAAAACGCGCTACCAAGAGAGAGAAAAAAAAAGTGTTTTGTGTGTTTTACCAGAGTCATAAATAACTGATCATTTTACAACGTTCGTTTGGCCTCATGTTGACTTTGTAAAGTATCACCGAACATTAAATGTCTTCTTTTGGTGAACATTTCATTCCTGACTTAAACCTTCCCTTTTCCTCGCCGTCCTTCTCAGTCAGTCGTCGTCCTCCTCCCGTCTCATTTTCCCACTTCCAGCGGGGTATTGAATGTATTGACAGCGTAAAGTGGTCCTACTTAAGAGTGCTCCCCGAGGGAGGGGGGGGGGGGGGAAAAGGGGGGGGGCGACAACCAGAGAGAGAGGGCCGACGGAAGACCTGCTTCACAAACGCTCACTTCAAGAAATACAATCAGCCAGCAACGGCTCACAGACGTGTTTTGTAGTCCTCAAAGTTTTGTAAAATGAGTGTTTCAAGACGGTCAAAATATTTGGTCATTTTCCAAGTCAAAAAATATCGAAAATGATCTTCATGCTTGAAGAAGGAAAAAAAAAAAAAAAAAAGACGCTGAACCCATGAAGCTCAAGGCTTACAAAGAACTAAGAGTACATGAAATGAAATCAATACAAACTGTCCTTGGTTGTCATCGCTCGTCTCCGTTTTTCACCAACTGCCAGGCAAATTGTTACGTCTTCGTTAGACGTTCCCAAAAAAACAAACACAAAACAAGCAGGTAGACGTCTTATCGTGGTTTTACCTGAGGGACTTGGCGAGCTAATTAGGACGCCGCCTCATTTGTGGCTCATTAGCGCTAATTAGGCTTCCCCTCCTTGCCTTTTTCGTCCCCTTTCTTTCTTCTTCCAAAAACAAGCGAGGCTTCCTCCCGTTTGTTTGTTTTGCTTCTGTCGCGGCGCCCAAATTCAATTTGATAAACGAGTCGATCTTTAAATATTAATTATGTATTAATTACGTTCGCCGGGGCAAAACAAAGCTCGCTTAAAGATTTATGAGGCGCGCCGATGCTTTCCTCCACGTTTCCTCGTCCAAAGAGCGTCGGGAGGAAGGAAAAACCTCGGAAACGGGAAATAAGCGGGCGAAACCACGCGGCGACATTGTTTCACACACTCCTGCGACTTTTGCATGGAATTTGGTGTCCTTGTTACAGCATGTTGGGGAAAACAAAAAATGACTGCATCCGGCACATGCTAATACGTTTCCATCAATTCATCTGATGAAACTACACACCAAATTGGATTGATAATCTGTTTAAAATTTCTTACATGAGATTTTGTGTCATGGTAGAAAGATGAGCAATTCGTAAGATGAACCAAAATTATTTCTGGAGAGTGAAATTTGGTGTTTTTGTTGCAGCACATTTAAAAAAAATTGACTGCATCCAGCACACAATGAAAAGTCGATCAATTGGAGAATTTTGTGTCCTCATTTCAGTTATGTTAAAAAATAAATAAGCACATCCGGCACCTAGTAAATATTTGTTGGCCTTGGAACCATGCTCAGAAATGCAACCGAATCCGGCACACAATGGATTAATGAAATTGCGTGCCAAATCACCTTTGTAATGTGTCTGAAATTGTGTGTATTGTTCTAAAGACGATTACGTGATATTGACCAATTCCATCGACACACACTCAGTGTGCACATGATACATCGGGTTGCGGTTTTCGGGTCAATTCCTTCCCCTGGTTGACTCGGCTCAGGAAAGCGTATCGGTCATCGTGTTGTGTATTTTGTGTGTACTGTGTGTATTTGTTTGCTGCACGCGGCACGACAACCGGGTCGAGTTTCGATGAGGAAAAAGCACGCTGAAGGCAAATAGGACACCTCATCTACGCACACACACACACACACACACACACACACACACACACACACACACATGCACCTTTGTTTACTAAACTTTCCGCCTTTGAAATATTTATTAGCATTGGGAGTCTCATACTGTGTGTGTGTGTGTGTGTGTGTGTGTGTGTGTGTGTGTGTGTGTGTGTGTGTGTGTGTGTGTGTGTGTGTGTGTGTGTGTGTGTGTGTGTGTGTGTGTGTTTCTATAAAGAGGTGAGAAGTTGCCCAAGAGACAAGCGAATATCAGGGTGACAGCTTCTAAGTGTGCGTGTGTGTTAGCGGCGTTGCTATAAAAAAAAGAGGAAAAAAGAAAATGACAACTGTGACTTGAAGCAAATGATGGCAACGCACTTGGTTGTGGCTAACAACTGTTGCCATAGCAACAGCATAGACACATGCACTCGATAGCAAAAGGTACTGCTAACTGGCAAATTAAATGCCGATCACGATCCAGATTGATGTGCGTCTATCGCACCGGAATTCTAATCGTCTTCATTTTTAAAACAAATTGATCAATGTGAGCTTCGACGTTTTCTGGTTATTTGGAGGAGGTGACAGCAGTGCGACTGGGGTGAAACTGTAGCCGGCCCACAGCGTCCCACCGACCGGGGCGGGGGCCACACAAGGTGGGGTGTGGGTGGGGAGGCTCCAGTACAAGTGTGGGCTGACGTGGGTGGGGCCCGGGGGGGGGGGTGTTGTGTGTTAGCCTAGTGAGGCTAACAGCACTCCAAGACTTTGAGAAAAGCCTCGAGGCGAAAGTCAGAGAGGGGAGGGGTGGTGCAGGGACTCCGTCAGCTGAATGGCTTCAGATGCTACGCTAACAATAATGACTAAAAAAACCCAAAACATTTTTTCTAATTGTTCTGACAGTTGACTTTGTCGTTCAACTCAGAACGAGCAAGATTTTTTTTTGTTCGTGAGATTAAAGTCCCGAATAAAAATTTGTGGACTGAGCAAAAAAAATAAATAAATAAATAATAATAATAAGAACCATTTTGCATTGACCCTTCCCATCGAGTCGCGCTAATTGGTTGGCGTTCGCACAGAGCGGCTCCTTCGTGAGAAAGAGCCGATCGTGCGATGGTGGGAGGGACCATAATGATGATGATGATGTTGACGATGATGATGATGATGATGGTGATGATGGCGGTGGCCTCTTTAGTGGCTGTGTGATCTCAGCCACCAGTTCCACAGCTGGTGCACCAGCAGGCAGCCCAGCCAGGCCATATGCCGCCTGGCTGGGCTGCTCCCATTGCTCCCATTATCCTCAGCGGAGCGACAAACAAGATGATGATGTTGACGATGATGATGATGATGATGGTGATGATGGCGGTGGCCTCTTTAGTGGCTGTGTGATCTCAGCCACCAGTTCCACAGCTGGTGCACCAGCAGGCAGCCCAGCCAGGCCATATGCCGCCTGGCTGGGCTGCTCCCATTGCTCCCATTATCCTCAGCGGAGCGACAAACAA